CATGCTGTCTCTTTCAAGTTTAATTTAGAGTTTTCCATGTATTCAGTTTGTTTGTTATCTTGAACCATTTATATCTAGAAAGGAAAGGAGTTTTTGCTGAATTCTCATTTAGGGTTGTCTTAAATCTTATTCTAGTTTCCTGCGTACTTCACTTGACGTTCCAGAAATGTCAGCAAGGTCCTTGAGGATGGATGCTCCTGCACTCTGCCAACAGAGTCCTCTTGAAGTTCAGGAGCCAACTTGGTCATCTTCCTCTTCTTTGTGCTGACCCTGCAGAATGGCTCTTAGTTCCTATTTCCTGAGGATTTCAAGTGCTGTAACATTTCATAACATGATCTTCTAATTAGTAACGATAAAGTTCAACATAGCTTTTCCATGTCCTTATCCTAATAAGAGTGTGATTCAAGATGAAATAATACAAAGCAGGCCTTTCAGGGCTTGAGCAGCAGGGCTGCAAAAAGCCCATTTTAAGGAGTTGAGGTCTGTGCATGTGATCCTGCAGTCCTGTCTCATGACTTGGATCTCGTTAGATGATTTTGACTGAGTTTTTACCATGGTTCTGGTAAAAATTAAAAGTAAAGGAAAAGTAGCTACCCGATGTTGGGGAAGAGGTCTTCCTCCTCTCTAATTTGTGTGGCAGCCATTATTAGTGGTTGGTGTGTTTTCTAGCTGGTCAATGCACTATCCTATCTCTGACCCAACTCACAGAACCGTTTCCTCACCCAAACAAGAAGGCAGTGGGAGAGATGAAAGTATGTGAACAACGAGCCTGAAGAAGAGAAAATAGTAGTTTGAGTGGGAAGGATGAATCTGCAGAGACCATCTTCAGTAGTGCTGCCATGCACAAGTCAGTTGTCACATTGTTTTTCTTGGTGTGTTTCTGTGAATTCTTTACATTAATTAGCATGCTCAGTGATGTATGGGGTGCTCTGCCTACTCTACTAACCTGTGTATTACATATCAAAGAACAGACATCACAAATATGGAGATTATCCTCCTAGAAGTGATGTTTTACTTCCTTTCCATGTTCACAGGGTAGGTGCCAGCCCATTTTGGTTTCCTGATTGTCTTATTGAGTCTATTTTTCCGTATCCAGGATGATACATAGCCTTTGTTAAGTTGCTTACTTTTTAGGATTTGCTCTCTTTAAATCCCTTTTATTTCCAAATCTTTCAGCTTGTGGTATTTATGTTCTGCAGTGTGACTTTTGGGTTTTTTGTTATGGTTCTTCTGACGAGGAACTGCAGTTTATTACTTTTGAGATGTAACTATCTCTAATTCCGCTTGTGCTCTGTGTGGTTAGTCTTGGGACTGCAAACACACTTTTCAGCCCCAAAAGTTTTGCTGTGAATTTATGCTTTCCACATTCATTATGTCTATTAGATATCTGGACCTCATGCTCCTGTATCATGTACAAGTGGCTGCTTTCTCTGTTGATATGGTTTGAAGCTGGCTCCCAAGTCTCCAAACCTTACCACAAGAAGTCATCCCCCCCCCGAAGCTCAGGAGAAGAGGGAGAAAAAAACAACCAAGAAAACCGAAATGAGAGAGAGAGCTAAAGCAATATATATAAATATATTTACACTTATGTTACAGTTATATACAATTGAAATATATATATACAGTTTCACAAGGGAAAGGGAAGGGGGAAGTGAAAAGGAACAAAACCAAAATAGAATATATATATATATATCCCGACTAGTAGCCCAATATCTAACAACTAAAATAGTTAGCAAAGAAATATCTCACTACTCTCCTTGGGACAACCAAGAGTCGCTCTGGAACGATCGCCAGCAACCTCTGTCTCCCAAGGTCGACCGGGCTTTACCAGGCCTCGCTCCCCAACACGGCAGACTCAACAGCAGGGAACCTGCACCTCCAAGCCGCCGGAAGGAAAGAGAGAGAAGGCCTCTCCTCCTTTCTTGTTATAGCCCAACTTACGTAAAAATCGTAGGGAATACTGGGTAAATCTGGACCCTTCCTTGGTTACAAACTGGTCACCAAGGAAGGCCTAGCCCAAACTACCACACTGTCCATTCTCTCTGCCCTATACAAATCCTTGTCCTGTCATCTTGATGTTTGTTCACTGCAAAATAAGGCTCTGATCTCTCTGTACCTGTTTTTTTCTCTCAGTTAGGGACTGTGCTTCGGATACTCTGAATCTATAGGAACTTTCTGATGGTTTACTCACGTATCCTGTTTATGTCTGTGATGCTGCCCAGTGTTAGAAATTTGTTTCCTGGATCTCCTTTCTCCCCTAGCCTTCCTTTGGCATGCTTTCTGCTTGTGTAAGTGACATCTGTAACGGTGCAATGGCCTGTGCCAGCATTTGTTATACCTAGGATACTATTTTAATGAACAAATATGTTCAGACAGTACTCCTCTGTCAGCTGGTAAGATATCCAAGTACAGAGCTTTGTGTTTATTCTGATCTACCTTCAGCCTCTTGCTTCTTCAGCCTCTTTTTTGTGCTGATCTCAGCAGGACAGACAACATCACTGTTTTCCTGGATGGCCTCCTACGATGACACTTGTTCAGTCTTTCATTACCAGGAGCATATGTAAGGTTTTATGCTGAAAAACCTCAGAGGGGTTTTTTCCTTCTGCACAGAGGTAACCCCTTAGGCAGTGCTGCACAATGCGACCCCCAGCCTGCAGCAGCAGCCCCCCAGTGCTCACTGGTGCTTGGGCTGATGGTTATGTCTCTGCTTCCATCTGCTTGATAAATATTAGTTTAAAGGATTTTGGAAGGGTTTTGGTTTTTTCTAATGTTCCACATTATCGAAGTATTTGCATTAATTCCATGCTTTGACTTCCTTACACTGAAATGGTACCATTAGCAGGGACGAATAATGCCTGAGGAGCATTGGCTATGAGAAGCAGGCATATGTCTGTAAGGGTGATGTGCCAAGATGTAAATTAAAAGGAAATGGGATGCTGAATTCGAAATCTATTGTTTTATATTCTTTAGTGATGTTATTGGTATTCATAAAAGTTTAGGTAGATTGAGGATGTGTATATCTTAGCATTCTACCTGGTGGATGAGGGGAAGGCTGTGGATATAGTCTGCCTGAAGTTCAGCAAAGCCTTTGACATCTTCTCCCACAGCATACTCCTGAAAAAGCTGGCAGCCCACGGCTTGGACAGGGGCACTCTGTGCTGGATTAGGAACTGGCTGGAGGGCCGGGCCGAGAGAGTGGTGGTGAACGGAGCTGCATCCAGTTGGCAGCTGGTCACTAGTGGTGTCCCCCAGGGATCAGTGTTGGGCCCAGTTCTGTTTAATATCTTTATCGATGATTTAGATGAGGGAATTGAGTCCACCATCAGCAAGTGTGCAGATGACACTAAGTTGGTGGGGGGAGTGTCGATCAGCTGGAAGGCAGGAGGGCTCTACAGAGGGACCTGGACAGGCTGGAGAGTTGGGCTGATTCCAACGGGATGAGGTTCAAGAAGGCCAAGTGCTGGGTCCTGCACTTTGCCCACAACAACCCCATACAGTGCTACAGGCTGGGCACAGAGTGGCTGGAGAGCAGCCAGACAGAAAGGGACCTGGAAGTCTGGATTGACAGAAAGCTGAACATGAGCCAGCAGTGTGCCCAGGTGGCCAAGAAGGCCAATGGCATCCTGGCCTGGATCAAGAACAGTGCGGTCAGCAGGACCAGGGAAGTGATTCTTCCCCTGGACTCAGCACTGGTGAGGCCACACCTGGAGTGCTGTGTCCAGTTCGGGGCCCTTCAGTTCAGGAAGGATATTGAGGTGCTGGAGCAGGTCCAGAGAAGAGCGACAAGGCTGGTGAAGGGACTCGAGCACAGGTCCTATGAGGAGAGGCTGAGGGAACTGGGGTTGTTCAACTTGGAGAAGAGGAGGCTCAGGGGAGACCTCATCACTCTCTACAACTCCCTGACAGGAGGTTGTAGCCGGGTGGGGATTGGTCTCATCTCCCAGGCAGCTATCAAGTAAGAAAAGAGGGCATGGTCTTAAGCTCTGCCAGGGGAGGTTCAGGTTAGATATTAGGAATTAATTCTTTACAGAGAGGGTAATCAGGCATTGGAATGGGCTGCCCAGGGAAGTGGTGGATTCTCTGTCCCTGGAGGCTTTTAAGATGAGACTGGATGTGGCACTGAGTGCCATGGTCTAGTAACCACGGTGGTAGTGGATCAGGGGTTGGATTTGATGATCTCAGAGGTCCCTTCCAACTTGGCTGATTCTATGGTTCTGTGACAGGGTGGTGTTGGGTCATGGGTTGGACTTGATCTCAGAGGTCTTTTCCAACCTGGTTGATTCTGTGATTCTGGAATATTTGTGATAGTTTTATGGAAGATCTGTAGAAGGGTTTTCTGACTGAGCTTTTTTAGAGTTTTTACTGTTTGTGTGGAACTAGCTTCAGAAATTAATCTCAGAAGTCAATTAATTAGAAATCTGTTGGCTCATGCATTTCCAAATATCTGATGCATGCTGAACTGAGCATGCTACTTACATTAGGAGTAATGACCACTTCCTGACTGGAAAGTTGAATAGAAACATTTAAGTGGATTTCAGATCAAACAGATGAACACTTGCAGGCTATTAGAGCAATAATTTTTGTTTTCTGTTTTGCACTGTAAAACATTTCCTTCCGGAGTAATTTGACTGTAAGTGGGGTTTACTGTAAGGGGTGTTTTTTTGTTTGGTTAGTTTAGGATTTTGGGGAATGATTATTGCTTGGTTTATTTTTCTCTCAATAAAGTCTAACAGTAGTCCAGTGTGAAACGAGATTGCATTTGCCCTTAAACAGGAAAAGATCTCAGTGCACTGTCAGATACCCACGTAGGTATCTGGGGCTTCAGTTGTTATCAGAGAAGCTGTACGAGAGGGTATCACTGGAAAGCTATTATATTTTACAAGTCTGCACACTGATAAACTGGTTAAGAAATAGGAATGGGTATGAAAGCTCCGTTCTCAGATGGAAGTGTTTGAATGTGTGCTCTGATTATTATATTGTCTTTATTTCCCCTCTTTCAGGTATTCACTTATAAGCAGAGCACGATCACACACCAAAAAGTAACGCCTATGCATCAAACAAGCACAGAGAGTGTGGAAGACATGGCAGCACTTGTAGATCTCCACGAAGGCTCCATTATGCACAACTTATTCCAGCGATATCAGCAAGATAAAATCTACGTAAGTTTTTTCTAAACTTTAGAAAAATATCCAGAGGGAACGTTTTTGAATGTTTTAAGTGCTGTATATGTTTTGCTGTTCTGTGCTATCTCCTCTCCTAATGTTCTCCAGTTCTTTATGTGTCCACATAAAGCTGAAGTCTGCCTCATCTAGTGACTTCTCATCAACAGTGATGGAAGGAGAAGGTAGCTCAGGACTGGCCAGGCAATCCTTCGAAAGCCTTGAAAAACTGGCACTTTCAGTGACAGGGTCGTGTAAAGGGCTCTTGTTTTTCTCTTCTCCTTTAGACTCTGCCCCAACAATATGTCCTGTATATATCACCACAGAGGATGTGGTGGAATTTAGTCTGTCACTGCCATTTGAGATCCTGCCAGGCCAAGATCCAATCCTGATCAGCTTCCCCTCTTCTACTGTAGTAGAAAGGGTATTAGGAAAGAAGCATTACGATTGTCAAGCTGAGGATTTGTGCCATTAAATACAAATAGTTGGAGTTTGGAGTCTGTTAGTCAGTTTCAAAAACTATGCATTAGTCCACACAGAATTCTTTTTTTTAACTCTGTCATGAAGCTTTTATCATTAGATTTACCTGCGCCTGAAATATTTTTGTTAATCTTGAACTAACTAAATATGAATCTTTCCTGAATCTGGAAGTACACTAAATGGGAGAAAGATAGAAGGAATATTAGCAGCAGTTGCAGATTGCAAAATCAAACTCTTTAGTGGTTCAGTGGTGGGTCGTTTTGTTGGTTTAGTTTTGTTTTTTTTTATTATAATTGCAGAACACAAATGACTTTTGTTTGCATCACATGTCTAGGCCCTTGATTTGGCCATATACATGCTTTATTTAAAGCTTCATCTATTAAGTTTGGCTTCTTTATTTTTAAATATAAACATATAAAAGTGTAAAATTAAATGTTCTATATATTTAGAAATTTCTTTATGATAAAAAGCAAAAAAGGGCATAATGAAATAGTATTCCTGTGCACATTACCCTTAAAGTGGCTTGCAGGGGGAATCCTAAATGTTGAGGCAGTTCTCTTTACATGAGTCTTTATTTATGGGTTTTTTTCTCAAATTAAATTAACCATTTTTCATTTCAGAAAAATCAGTAAACAAAAAATTAATAGCATATGTGAACAGTCCTGCATGTGAGGAAAAACAGCTACCTGATAAAAGTTTAGTTTTCCATCAGTGTTGTCAGATTAGAATATGATACTCAATATGAGTCAAAATAAAAAAAATATTGGTTTTTGAGTCATGATGTGCACTCAGAGGACATGTCTGTTTTTTAAAAGCATTTGTGTATGTGGGTGATTTTTTTGGTGAGGCATAGAATAACCTTATTCTGAAGAGACATGCCCTAGCTTATTTCTTAGCTTGTCAAGGCAAGTTTAGGGTGTTCTGATCCTTGGTGCTTTGCATGGTGTAGGTTCCTAGACAAACAGGTTTATGTGTGCTGTTAATGATGACAGATCTCCAGTTGCTACTGAATAGCATTGTCCCTTTAGTTTTGCTAATTTAACTCCTTAATCTTTTGAATCCACTTCACCTGAAACACGCTTGAAAAGGTGGTGGTGTGTTTTGAAATGCATATGAAAGCCTCCCTGTTGTCCTGTATATGTAATCAGGACTGGATTTAAGAAGCATCTTCTTTTCTCCAGCCTCATTGGTACCCCACTCCTGCTGTGCCAGTGGTAGTGTTTTAACAGGAGAGGTCTTCAGGAGGAAAAACACCAAGGAAAGCTGATTAAATGCCTTGAGTAATTTTGTGAAACTCCATAAATATAGAAGCATGTATTGTAGGAGAGGTTGTTGTCATTGTACAATGAACTGTGTCTTTTCAAACCAAAATTTTTTAACTCTGTCAAACAGTTCAATTATATTTTAATGTTTAATGTTTAAAGAGAAAAAAAAGACTGAGAGGTACATTAAGTTTACCTTTGTTGAAGGTGTACTTGCAGCTGATCATTCATACTTGCTTGATCATTCTGCTTTGGGACCAAACTAGTTCCGGTATAGGACAATAGAAGCCATTGAAGTTCAAGTCAGGACCAATCAAAACTTTCCAGATTGTACATTTGCCATCTCCCTTGGCCAGGAATTGCTTCATCTACTGCACACATTGTCTCTTGTATCTGCCTCATCACCTTGGCTGTATTTGTCCCATGTGCATTGGGGATAAACTGGGAAGGCATGTGCCACTCTCCACTGTGGGCTAAGGGGCTGATCATCCCTTTGAAAGACTTCTTGTCATCCCTGAATACAAACCACCATATAATTGCTGTGTCCTGGCATTTAGCTTATGAGTCCTTTCTTACTTCAGTTTTATGCTCCTCCTTGTTCACAGTCTGAGTAGGGGAAAAAGATATGCAAAGGTGTACGCTGGCATTTTATGAGTTACAGGCTTGTACTATTACAAGTATGTTAGTGTGGTTCTTGAGTCTGGCAGCTTTTTGTTAGTTTTCTCAGTGGCATTGAGACCAGGAAGCATCTTTGTACCTTAATAAGGAATACGCTTAGTTGGGACTTAAGTTTTGGGGGTTGCTTCTTCCCACACACATAAAAATTATATGAAGTTCAGTATACTAAATTGTAGTGTAAAGTATGTATGATTTTAAAAATATAGAAGAAACAATTAAATGGAAATTTAAACAGTTACTTTCTCAGAAATACAATTATTTATGCAGATTTTCCACTGTTAACTTGTGGTTTTTTGTATTTGAAGAACTTTTTCTCCAGCAGTGAGCATTTAAATAAATATCTTCAGATGTTTGAGCTCAGTTTAATCTTCCCTTACTTGATAACATCTTTGTTTCACATAATCATACCCATGTTCCTAAACTTTTCACTGCTTCCTAATTAATACTATAAAGTCATTTGCTATGGATGCCAAGTTTTGTCAAACATGTCAGTGACTTTCTTTGCTGCTCCCAACAACTGCAGCTATAAAGGGACAGCAGAGGATTTTCTGTATTTCTTGCTATTTCTTGGACAGGGAAGAAGAAGGATCTAGCACACAGTGTTCTTAGTGTGAATGATACCTGGCTCTGAATATAATGAGTTGAGGCTCTTAGCTGATTCTGTGCTGTTTGCAAGAAGGTGAATGACAAAAAGTTGTTCTTGTCTATGTGCAACCATCTTTTTGCAACAGCGTCAAGTCTGTTGACATCTGCTTGTAATAACCTTTTGTCTGAATTTCTGTAAAAGAGTGTATGCTTTCCCTTTTTGTCCTGTGAGAAGGATAGGATGTACAAGTCCTTTCTTGGTTCCTTAAAGTAGACTCCTGTCTGGTACTTTTTCAGGCTTTGTGATTAATACTGCTTTTATCTGAAACTTTGCTTCTGGGCTATTACTGCATTTGTTGTCCAGGAAAGGACAACTCTTAGGATGACAGTGATCACATGGTCCAGGAACTTTCATTGCTACTTCCTCTCCCATTTTACTCCCTTTGGGAACACCCAAGGGATACAGAAGGTCCAGCTTCTAGACATCAGCATACAAGATTTGATGCTTGTCTTTGAATGCTCAGATTAGCTTGCATTCTAGGCTGGTATGTGGCAAAATATGGAAATATAAACACTAGTGCTAAAAATGGAAGGTGCCCATGTTTGAACACAGAGCCTTTTGTGAAGGCACATGGGGGATTTGGTCACCTCTGAAGCAAGACCATCACAGGACACAGGATGTGGAGAGGGCAAGTGCTGTGGCAGCCGTTCTTGTTGACGTTCAAAGGTGGATTGTTCCCAGAGCTGTTGATTCTGGTTCACTTTTAGTTAAGTACACACTACAGAGGAGACCAGCTTAGCCTTGGAGAGGACGCCATAAACCACACAGCATGGATTGTGCTGCAAGACGCACAAATTATAGTGTTTGGGCTGGCTCTGGGATGAGCTGTGGGTGTCTTGTCTGTGGCCAGCAGTTAGTTACTGATGCAGGCAGCAAATTTCAGGAGAGCAGAGCAGAAGATGAGTGCAGCTTTTGCTGAGGTGAGAGGCAGGTCGGAAATAACAGCAATATAGGTTGTGCAGGTCAGGGCAGAGGTTTTCAGTGTCAGATCCACCCTCATTTGCATGAGTTCAAGCAATAAACAATTTTCAAAGCACTTCTGATTAGTTTTTTTCTTTTGAATTAAGCTGTGAAGTGCTAGGTAGGCACGTTCCCCTTTGAAGTGATGATGATCTGGCACGTGCCTGTCTTGTTTAGTTGGAAGATGTTCACCTGTGTCCAGAGAGGCATGCTGCATGGGCTGAGGTGTGGCGGTCCCCCTGCTGCCCTCCCCTGCTGCACAGAGTGACCTCCAGGTTGTCCAACAGTTGGGTGTGGTGGCCAGGAAGGGTGAGGGACAACATAATCTATTTTTATTCACTTTCAAATTAGGGCTGCAGTTTGCCCACCAGTGATTATAACCATCTGTTATGTTTGCGTGCATGTATGTGAGAAGTTCTGTACCAGCCACGTCGACATGTAGTGCTGTACCAGCCACATCCACATCAGAGGGAGGACGATGGTAATTAGGAGCTCAGTTTTTGTGGTTGGCTTCTTTTCTCTCTTCAACTGAAGCAACAAACATAGTATAACTTGGATGGAAAAGCAACATTTATCCGATTTTTTAAAAAGGTGTTAAACTGGAAAACTTATCTCTTCCCTGACAAGGTTGCTTACAGAGCTCCTAGACATGTCATTACACTAAATTCTCAGTTCTGTCTGTTCTTAGAAGGTATATTCAGTTATTTATGCATTGATTTTTAAATCTGTTAGTGTTTATTTACTTAAGCAACATGCTCAGTTGTAGTTTTTGAAGCTTGCAGTAATTAGATAATTTATCTCCCTTAAAGTCATGAGAGTTCCCATAGGCAACTAGTTGATGTTTGTGCAGTATTAATCAATAATCACCATAGGGTTTTTTTTTCTAATTCTGCTTGCAGACACAGACACTTTAGTATCTAGGTCAGTTGCTCTCTGTGTCTTGTTTGTCTAGGTTTTGAATTTTTTTTTTCCTG